AGCACGCTTGATCTCTTTGAGGTCTGGCAGGCACATGTCCATGGTAAGAGGGACCGCAGCGCTTCGGTCGTAGCCCACGCACTGAGGTGAAGCCATGAAGTGCGGCCCGGCTGTCCCGTCCTTTAACATATTGCAAGCATTTTTCTATGGGAAGAAGAAAAGAGAAAATATCATGGCTGAATGGCGAGTGTGAGAAAACACTACCACGTCCCCCACCTCCACCAGCAGCGTTACAGCCTCTTTGGAAGAGGAGTCCCAAGGGCATCGCGAACACGGAGCGAGTGACTGAATGCCAGCGGGGTTCGGGCTGCCACCCCCGAAGCACAGCTCCTCTTCGGGCAGCTTCTCCCACAGAGCGTCAGCCACCAGTCTGTGGCACCCAGCCTCACGCAGGAACCATACCCAATCTGAGCCGATCCTCAGATGAATTCCTACGTAGGGCCTGACCAGCAGAGAGTGAATATAGGCTTCTCCTTTCTTCACCATTTCATCAGCCCACACGATATACTTATGGAGGGGTCGGTGCTCCTCTAAGACGGGGAACTGGGCCGGAGCTCCAGGTAAGGCGAGTACCGGGTGCTCAGATGGTGAAAACCTACGGAAAAAACCCAGCAGACCCAAACATAACCCAGCCTCGCATGCACCACCTTGCTCAAAGACTGCCGTGAAGGTTAGAACGGAACCTACGAACACCCTGAAACGTGCAGCACCTACTGCTCCAAATTCACCCGAGATGAGTTTTAACTGTTTTGCCAACAGAACACCGAAGCAACACTCAGGTACCGCGTTTTACCTCAGACCCGGTAACAAGTGAATCGGTATTATTTGACAGACAAAAGGTAAGGATCTCATACGCGCAGCAACGAGAGGTTACGTTTTCACCCCAGACTAGAGCACCTCTGTCACCCAAACTTACTGATAGGACTAAAGAGGCTCTGAAAACAGGAGGTAACCAGCAAAATGCAGTTCACGATCGGCAACCGAGAACCAAATTCTCTCTGAAGAATAATCGCATATGTAATCAATAAATACCGTAACCAAACATTACTGGCTCAGGAATCAATCAGCCTAACAGAGTTCACACCTAATACTGCCCACAGGAGGAGGGTGCTCAGCGAACATTTAATGGAAAAAGCATTAAGATTTTTAATTATATCGCTAAGTAACCACTCCGGTCTCTCCCCCAAAACGCAAAGGCTTTATTTACACGGTGACTAGCACAACTGTCCTCACGAGCCGCTCTACGTGCCTACAGTGGCATGCCAGCACTTTCCCATCTTCTTCCTACCTTTGGATCCAATGGTCCTTGTACGCAGAACTGAAGGAAATTCCCTTGAAGAGCTCAGACTTATCAAAATCCACTTGGAACTGGTCCCAGAAGGGACCAAATGGGTTTCCATCCTGCAAAGGGAAGACAAGTGTTCGTGCGGTGCATACGCAGAGCCTGAAAGGCAGACTTCGGGAGGTCCCGGGGTGCCGAGCTGAAGGGTCTCTCTCTGACAGGAAGAGAGCAGACCGAATGTAACAGCCTGTCACCGATCAGCTCCACGGGAAGGAGAGAGGGAAACACATTAAAGAAAGAGGGAAACACGTTAAAGAAACTTAACCGAGAACTCATGCAAATGCGTCTTAAAAGAGCGAGGACACCGCAGCCCTCAGACTTGGATCTAAAAGAGGTTGCTTTAAAACCAGCTGGACAACTATACCACAGGAGGGAAACGGGCAGCGGCCAGTAGGAGATGAGCTACAGATCTGCTCTCCCTACAGTCAAAATCGAGTCTGAAGTGATAAAACCTACTTGCACGACCCGTCTCCCCGAACCCCAAGGATCTGCTGACAAAGAAAAGCACGAAGGCGCAGCGAGCCTCGCAGGTAAGCGGTGAAAGGAATGCCACGCGGGCAGATTTGGGGCGGATAACTCCTACGTTAGCAAATCAACGGCGACCTGAGTGAGTCCGTCGTTCCCTCTGCCAACAGCAGCAGAATTAACCTGCGCCCCGGGCCGGCGGGGACGTGGGAGGAACTCACCTTCATGGGACAAGAGCTTTTGTCGGCGCTTCTCTGAGCCGCCGCTTCGAAGCAGTAAGCCACTCGCTTGCCAGGAGGCCAGTGAACCGGCGCCAGCCGCTCCATGAAGTCCTCCAAGCTGATGACGCGGTGGTCCCGCAGGAGCGGCTCCAGCCTGAAGTGCTCGGCGTAGGGAACGTGCAGCTGGGGAACGG